AAATTATACATTGCCCCTTAAAAAAATATGCGCAGTCTTACCATTGAGCATAGTAGCATATTATTAAGGAATAAGAAATATTATACTACACAGCAAGATGGATTTATAAGGTCAACAAACTAGAGAAAAAAAGTGATACTATAATTTACTACAGTTCATTTAACCACTAGAGAGCACTGAAAACAGTTGATATTTCATTTTTCTTATTATGTATTATTATTTTAGATTCTGAGCAAAGCAATGAATGTATTAATTTTACAATGATGTGTGTTTTTGTTCTAGTAGAATTAATGCTACTAATTTACAACTTCAGTCTCTTTTCTGATGGAAAAGTGAATCAATTTGGTACTTTTGAAAATGTTAGTTCAAAATTCCCAATAGTTTTAAAAAGCACAGGGAAAAACAAATTAAAGATTAAGTAAAAACAGAGATTTTAGTTTTTCTAATCGATTATGGTTTTTGATGTAACCTTAAAATATAACAAAAGATACATTCAATTTTCAATGGATGTTTATATTAGCATTTTATATACACTATAGAATTTTAGAATATTTTGAATCCTGTTGAGCTATTTATAGGCACATTTAATGTTCGATTTTTTTAAATTAATGCCAATAAAAAATTTTTGGTGTCAAAAAATTTGAAATTGTAAGAGGAAATCATAAAAAAAATTGCTTGAATCCATACTATTTTGTATGAGCGTCTGAAATTAGAATTTGAAAATTACAAAAATTTCAAATTATTTTGAGTTAGAAAGTCATTCAATTTTTTATAACATTGGATATTCACTCAATTTCTCATAGAACGATTTTTTTATTTTGTCATAATTCAAAAACGAATAAACGTAATACTTTTTACCAAATGTTTATTTTAGTTTTTTTTTATAAGCATTTAAAGATCGAATTTTGACAAAATTTATCAAAATTAATCGAAAATTATCAATCATTGGAATTAATAAATTATAAAATGTTCAGTTTTTATAGCTAAGGATTACAAATTTAAAACAAAGGGTCTCATAAATAGTTCATACTGTAACCAAAAAATCTAAAAAATATATAAACAGATTTATTTTTTAGTTTTTACAGACATTTTAAATTCAAATTTGGACGAAATTACATAATAAAAAACCTAGAATAACTATTTTAGTTATTTTGTTGTGATTGTATAATAATATTCGTGGGTACTTGAAACTTCTAAAGTGTACTATTATATATCTATGATAGTATCACGGTTTTTGTTGATGTATAACGGGTTATAAGTACCTAATGGATATTGTGATATGATTAATTTGGAATTTATTATAGGTACCTATTATAGGTCAAATTTTGGTTTAGTACCATAGATATATAATATATAATATGTCTTATACCTATAGAGTATAGACTGACATGCCGTCTCCGCTCAGAATCGTTTTTCTTATACAATGATATTATATCGTTGAATTCAAATTTAATATCATCCATTATACAGTGACCCACTTGTAACCTACTGTACAGCAGAGCGACACCCACTTGCCCACCTTTTTTTTTAGTTTTATTTTAGTTTTATTTTTATAAAGTTGAAAAAACATTCTGTCTCTGCTCAGAATGGTTTTTGTAGGTTAATACAGTAAAGATAATAATGTTAAATCGTTTTTAATTTCAAAATTTTCAAAATATAAATTGTTTTTTAAACAATGAGTAAATAAGTTATCTACGTTAAAATTACCCATTGTGTGTATATTTTATAGAGGTATAGTTTTATTACAATTTTATAAACAAATAATTTTCAAAAAAAAAAGACCGAGAAGAATGTAGTTAGACTATTGAACCAAATAATAGTTATATAATTTAACATGATGCATATAATATATTATAACAGTATAATTTCTTTCATTCTATCAACCATTTATATATTAAATTCATACTGTATTAACCATTATAAGTACCTTAACAGTTAGGTATATAATATATAAGATATTAAGATATTAATAATAAAATAATTTTTTACGGTTATAAGTAGTATAATTTGTATTTACAATGTTTAGCCCTGTCCCTTTAATAATAATTCTGGATAAGGCATTGCAATTAGTACGCAATAGTTTTGTACTAATGCATTTTTTTGTCATTCAAACTTGTCAAAAATAATTTCCCTCCAAAAATAAGATACCGTTTAAATATTAGGCTATATATAAATTGTTTAACATTAAGTTTATTTATTTTATTTGCATTTTTAATACATATTATTTTTAAATTATTTGTTTTGTATACTTATGTACAGTGGATTCCACTTCACGTGGGCACGTTTCTGACCAGATCCATTTGCCCTCATAAAATATAATTTCCCATAAAAACGGAAATTAATTTTTTAAAAATAAGTGTTCAATATTAAAATTATATTATTTTTATGATGTAGGTATATAATATATATTATGTACAGACATACAATATTATAAAACTATTATTACTCATTATTATTGTTATAAGTAAGATTTATACATTTTTTCCTATTATATTTCCAAGGTATTTCATAGGTACAAGTTAAAATTCACGTTAGTTTAGTTTGTGTATTTAAAGATGACATTGAGTTTTGTTGACCAAATATTTCTGTTTGATGTATGTAAACATGATAATATTATGTGTATTAAAACATTCAAAACTTATAAAAATGATTAAACATTAATGATGATATAAGTGGTTTTATTAGGTAAGATTATGGGAATGCTATCTGGAGCGATAAAAGTGTTGACATTAAACGGCACGTGTGGCTTTCTTTCAATCATATTATTTGAAAAATTCTTCCAATCAGTCTAATATAATATTAGAACTGTCCGCATTATCCAAACAGAGTCCCACAATAGCCAGTTTAATCTTGTTTACATTCATTAGAGTCAGTACCTGACATATTTGCCATATAATTAGTGGCTTTCCACACATTTAATGGAATCCACTATAATAATAATATATTATAGGTATTTAAAAATTTTCTATTGATTTGTTTAATATATTTTAATTTGAAGTTATTAGTACTGAAATATTATAAAACATTAATACTTTAGTATATTAATTATGATTATAGTTATTTTTAATTAAAATTAATTTGATACTTTGATGTTATATTTTTGATAATTTTATGAGGAAAACAATAGTGAATATCCATGGTCAAAAATTGTGTTTCCGAAATGGTAAATCGTATTCGTTATCGTATTCAATTAGTTTATTAATTGTACTTGTGTATACTTAGTACAATACAATTAGGTAACGACACAATGGCACAAAAAGCAGCCATAGTTTGAAATTTGAATATAATAACTATATAAATATCATATATTTTTTTTACCTATTGTGTCTTATAATTGTACTTTGAACTTTCTTTACAGCCGTTTTTAAATCGTCTGAGCCATACTACGCGGTATTTAAAAGAAGTTGTTTTGTTGGTGGGTAACTTAAAATCCGCGGGTTTAAAACCGTCCAGACTCTATTTCGAAAATACCACAGCTAGTATTACCGGGTTCTTATATAAGTTATAGGAGCCAATAATAATTATTTTTCTAATGCTATTTACAATTTATTCAGATTACTGGAATCTGGCTTGGACAATTATTTGTTTAAATTAATTATATTTAAGTAACTTAATATTTGGTTGTACGAACAAAAATCTTCCGCTAATATTATTATTCCGATTAATATAAGATATACGAGATACCTATATAAAGTAGAATAAATAAATAATATGAATTAAAATTAAAATATTCAGAATTGTTTTCAAATGTTATAACTTATAACAACATTATTGCGTTCAATAATGAGTTTATTATACGTGTACCTATATATTGATCACTGTTTTGGCTATTGCCTTTATATAAAATGTTATGGGCCCCCAGCATTCCGGCTTTAGTTTTTCAATTTTTTTGAAATTCGAAATAAAAATGCTAAAATATGGTACAGATCCGAGTTGAATATATAATTTAATAATTAATAACCCTTTCACTGCTGAGTTATTTTTTTCCAGTATATTATGATGTCCTGTGTTGTGCTACAATTGTAAATTGTATATTTCATTTTTTTTTTGTTTTGTATTGCATATTTGTAATGTCGTGAGGTAATAAAAAAACTTAATAATTAAATCTCTTTAAGCATGTGTTATTTACTTTGAATAATTTAATAAGAAACGTACAATATATACTTGACAATTGTCAATTATCAGTATGCAGAACAGAATGAATTGCATTATAAAAAAAGTGAGATTAACATCTCTAACATACAATGTTACCAACAACATAACAATATTGTTATAGTTAAAATATTAATATATATAGGTACATTTTTTTACATATATATTAGTTTTTTTTATAGTGTCTGGATTTGTCCAATAATATCCCCTATGGTGCCCTCCCTTAAACAATTCCTAAATACGCAGCTGTAATAAAGATACCCTGTAAAGGAAAGTCTGGTATATGTATATAGTTGCTTCCAAAGGCATAGCTAGAAATTTCATCAGGGGGGGCGGTGGCATTGGCGCCACTAGGGGGGTGTTAAAAGGTCTTTAGCACCCCCAAGTTCAAATTTAACACCCCTTGTTTTCTTTAGTTGTACGTCTAACTGAAATTATAAAAGATTTATTTAAAAAATATTAAAACAATTTTGGTCATAATATTAAATATTAATTTGTTAGGTATACATGATTAATATAACAAAGAGCTGCTCTGTGAGACATTTACAATTATAGCACCCCACGTTCTAAAGGTGTGGTTGATTTTTTTAGGGGGGGAGGGGAAACCAAGTGTATTTTAAAATGTTTAGATGAATTAAAAATGTTGTTAGTAAGCATAAGCAAGCATTAAGCGGTATAGTTATCTATACTCAGTTCTACAAATACTCGTTATTTCTCGTTTCGAACCGTATACAAGGTATATGTATTTATAGAAGACGATATTCGTACTTTATTATTGTGTCCCACACATTATTTTTACGGTCAACAATGATATTATAATGCCGATTAAAAAATTACATTCGTATCCTTCATTGATCCTTCCGGCGTTGTTCTTCATTCGTCTCACCACTGATGGGCTCTGCAGGATTGGCGGTCACTGCAGGACTGCCGGACGAAGGAATGGCGGGCTCCGGTACAGTCATTTCCTCCTGCTCGCTGTCGTTGATCGAGTCGGGGTCGGCGGTGACGGCGGAGCTGAGGGCCGAGGTGGCTGACGCCATCGTGTCTCGGGTGCGGTTCAACTGTTCTATCCACTGGTCGATGTCCGGTTCGTGTTCGACCAGGAACGGCCGGATGATCGTCTGGTACACTGTATCCGAGCCGCCCGCGCGCAACCACACGATGGTGCCGATCTTGACCATGTCGTAGAACGGCACCCACGGCCGGGCCAGGCTCTCCACCGCACGGAACGCGCCGTAAACGATCCAGTGGATGAGCAGCTGCCGCCATTCCTCCGGGTCGAGGTTACCTTCACCCGTCTCATTCGCCTCCAGTCCTTTGAACGTCTGGTACACCGGTTCCAACATCATCAGTGCCGTTTCCGTGACGAACGCGAGTATCCCGAACATGGTGAAGAAGATGGATTAGGCTTATGCTAGCGTGTGTGCTCGCGCTGTTCTCGTACAAGACAGGAAGATCTGAGTGTACTCCTGATTTGGCGCCTTTTCTATTGCTTATTATATAATATCGGTACTTACTTTCGTATTTTAAAATATTATGTTTAAAAAGTGCAACGTGTTTGGGCGTGCAAACGCGCCCGGTGTGAGTGTGCGTGTGAGTGAGAGTGTGTGCAAGTGTGTGGTTTCGTCGACTTATATTAATCGTATATATTATTATAGTTAGTATTCAATTTATTTATTTTCATTATTGTTATTCTCAAACGCGCCACAGAAACGCCGCATCGTTTAAATCGTCGTAGGAACATAAAATAATATTATGTGTACAATGTACATGCGTATACAGAGTGAGTATATCAGGATGATAATATTTGACAATATATTATAATTCATAAGTTATAGACATACCATATTGGTCATAGGCTTATAGCCTTATAGTCATTTCTAAACGCCGAGGCGGCCGCTTTCGTACCTCTCTGCACCGATTATATTACCATTATAATTCACCCACACCAAAACATTTTCTGTTATAAAAGAATCGAAAGAAAAAAATGTTGATCATAAATACGTCTATGTGTATGGAGATCTGGACAAATATCTACTTTGTTTATACGTCAATCTATATTATTATGTCTGGAATACACTCGGTAAATTATATTAGTATATTATGTGGCCTATATAATCTCTACAATAATAATGCACACTACGCATATTGTTGTTTTATATATTGTGTTTGACACTGTCAGATTTAAGAGTGGGCATGGATACAAACACAGTTATTAGGTATACTGTTTATGTGTCATAGAGCTAGCTAATTTAATATTATAACATAAGAACGTGTATGTTGTAATAATATGATTGAAATTACTATTATAATATATAAGTAAAGGGACTGATTTGTTTATTTAGCTATTATGACGACGCCAGTTTTTAGTTTGGGGAGTTATATATAGAGACGTGAATTATTCCAAGCACCCGTTAGATGAGTCTGCGTGACTTTAGTTGATTAAAATAATTGGCCTGAAACTAAATATTATTATTAATCAAATAAAGCTAGATATGTCAACGAAAGTAGAACAGGAATTGAAAGAAAATGTCGTATTATGTGTACCGTAAATGGACTCCGTGTGCTACTTATTTTGCAGCATATTTAGTAGCAAACGTTTATTATATTTATGATTGATACTTTTTTTTTAACGTCCTACTTGCAATATTCATTGGTACATACATCACAATAGCAGGGATGGGTAAGACATTTGAAAAAATATGTATAGATACCTACTTCAAATTTTACTTAACTTTTAAATACAATTATGATTACCTTCTACAATAATATCAAAAATATATACCTAATATATAGAATAAGTTGTTATAGCAGCTGGAAAATGTTAAAGATATACACATGTAGAGTTTTTTTATAATAAGAGTTTGAAGATTAAATTATAACAAATTTCGACAAAATCATGAAAATGTACAAATAATTTTGCATTCAAAAATTAATAAAATATTCAATTTATATACCTAAGGATTAAAAATGTAATACAAGGTTTCTCATAACTCATAACTCATAAGTATTCATGTTGTATCAAAAAAAAAAAAAAACATATAAAAGCACTTTTATTTATAACCATTTTAAGTTCAAATTTGGATGAAATTGTAGATATTTAAATTAAGAATAATAATGTTAGGCATTTTGTTGTAATTTAAAAATAATATTCGTAGGGACTTAAAGACGTTTGTGTTGACGTATATTATAATTTATAAATGCAGTTATAATATGCAAGACATTTTCAATATATTATACTATTAATTTTAAGCTATTACCTATTTATTCCATTAACATGAATCTATTTACACTGTTCTACAGTTAAGTGGTATTGACTTATAAGTTAATAACAATAATATAATATGATAGAAGTATAGAACTACACCTACAATATTATAATAATTAAATATTAACTAATTTAAAAATGCAATGTTTTTTGACAAAAAATAAATCAATTTACCTACCTTAATTCTAATAGTAATATAAGTTACTTTAATATAAGTGCATGATAATAGCCCAGATCATATCAGTTTATAATCGTCTATCGCATACAAATATATTTAATTTAATTTAATATTATTATATTTAATATAACATGATATAGTTATATGCAATGTTTATGGAAAAAATTAGTTCGACCTACCCGCTCGTACGTACCGTTATTTTTAGTTAGGTATACTTACCTAACCTAATTGGAAAATTAATTAGCTGCAATAATAAAATAAATAAATCATAAAATATCTTTAGAAAATGACACCATCCTTGCTGGGAATAGTTTTTTGAATGTAATGATCTATCATTTATTTCAAATATAATATATCGATTACATAGAAACATTCGAAACTTGCCATATAATAAAGCGACTTCCTTGGACTTGAGTTGGACTTTTTAAATAACTAAATAACAATTCTAAAATATTGTTATAGATCGAATACTTCAATATTATTTATTCAATTAGTTATTTGTGTTATGTAATAGTGTACTATTACATAGTGACTATAACATTTTTATAACCAATATAACAATACAATACAAATAAAAAACTTGAAATAATTGGTATTTTTTAGCTGTTGGCTTTATTTGTAATGAAATTAAAATTATAAACATTGATGATTGGCATATTATTATTTCATAGTATTATTTAACGACAAAATAATAAAAACTACTTTATTATTAAACACCCAAACATTATAATTTACAATATTAATAATTAACAAAGATTTCATACTTAATCACAGCAAAAAATGTAAAATAAATAATAATATATTTATATGATATTTAGCATTTTTAAGGAAATTTAAATTATTCAGCTTGACTGTATTGGTTATCTACCCAACTATCAATACCAACGATGAAACACAATAAAACTTTACTATACAGGTAATAGGTATGGTAATTTGGTTATTGATAAGCCTGCAATCAGAAAATATTATTTGACACTACGTGGTGGATTGTGTACCCATCTCCATATTTTCTGTCACCGCCGATCAGTAATAGGAAATCGGTCGTTTGCAGCGTTTATCGATCGCCTGTTGTTTCGGGATCTAGTCAAAATCGTGAAACTATTATATAACGACGGTCAGTGGTCACGATAGGGAAAACAAAATGAGCAAATATACAGTTAATAGCGATTACAAAAATATTGAAAAATTTTATTTGTTTTAACATTTGGCATATGAATCTTAAATAAACTATAAAAGTATATAACAATTACACTTGAAAATTAAATTAAATGCAATCCCTTTTAAAAAGTTCAAAGTGTTATTTGTGTTCAATTAATTTACCATATTATTAATATCTTCTATTTTGTTTGGCTGTGTGTCATTACCTATATATTTGTTTCGCAATTGACATTTCCGCAGTCGAACGTTTATTGTCGTTCCCAATGACCGTTAGCATTTGTGACTTTTCTGGTGACTCGTGCGAACTGTATCTATGACAAAACCTGCAGCGGTCCATCCAAAATCTTTATTCGACTGAGGTTACCACACGGTGAAACGTGTCAAAAAGTTGAGTTCCCCTCAACTCTGGAAATTTCCCAATAGATCATGGTTACTAAGAGATACCATGATTGCAATGGCCAATTAGAATACGATAAAAAGCACGTGACACGACAGTCTATGTAGTTGTGAACTCGGCTGAAGCGTACTTGCCGTCTGGTAATCGCGATGTTTAATGTTTTCAGTCTGTCAGTCTTCTGAAAAACGGTCGTCCGCGCCTACCGGTTTCCCCACGTCCGTCCGATTCTCAACTATTACTATTCTCGATCAAACCATTTTCGTGTCGCCGTACCGTCGAGTGCATAACAATAATAGCAGTGATATCAATCAGTGGGACGACATTCCGGCGATACGAGTAGTGTACCTACCTATTTCTCGATCTTCCTAGCGCCTATATCATCGCCTGTACGGTCAAGGTAAGACGTAATTAGTCATTTAACATTCACGTGTTCCCTCTAAAAACATAATATTATACATAATGTGTCCACTCCTTTACGACCGTTAGTGTTAGAATTTGTTATATTCATATATTATACATTTACATTAATTATTTCAAACTTGTGAATCATGCAAATGTGTATAAATACTAGCTGAATAACCCGGCGTTGCTTGGGAAAAGTATTGTGGTTCATTAAGTCCTTTTAGAATTTTGAAAAGTCCTTTCTTAAGGGTTTTTTGAGTCATAAAATTAAAATGCTAACTAAATTTCTTACTCATAGTTTTACTGGTTCCGACTAAGTGATCATTTTTTATTTTTAGCACTTTTAACTCTTTTCACCCCTGTTGGGGTTGAATTTTGAAAAATTCTTTCTTAGGGGTTTTTTGCATCATACAATGAAACTACTGACTAAACATCATACATAATATATATATAGATAGATACACATTAGCTTGCCAAATAAAATTGAATACAATTCAAGTAAAACTTAGCTAGGTTAAATAATCACCTATACATTGCCGTGTGACGAAATTAAGTACAAATGGTACAATACATATATAAATATAATTTGATGTATCATTGTACATTATCTGTATTTATAATTAAAAATGTAAATTTATCATTTGCCGTATATCTTTGAATTATTCATTTATAATCTATACGGCTATATAATATTATATATAACGCGTATCTATATACAATATCTGTGCTCTGCGGTAGTGCAGTGACATTATATTGTAACCGATCAAGGTGCAATCGGATAAGATAGTAGGTATATCGGGTGTATGGTATAAGGTAGGAAAGCCAACATACGCCATTCGTGTCTTTTGAGGCACATTTGATGATATTGAATAGCACACTAAAGTGTCAAATAAAATAAAATATAATTTTCGATTATTTCTAAAATTATGTTTTTCAATATTAAATAAATATTAAAAGTCGTAATTCGTAAATATTGTGTTACACG